CCTGAATTTCATTCTTCATATGCTAGTTTTTAATTAAGCTTTGCCATGGAAAAAATGTATTTTTCTTTCTTGTTCACTGAAAATAATAGCTCTAGAAGAATATTGGTGTGACAGCATTTGGCCAAAGAATGTCAATCTAGTTATTGAATTGCAGATTGACAGGTTGATACGATCCTCATAAGTGAGAAGTCTTTGATCTGTATTGTTAGAAGCTGAAATTTCACCACACTTTCATATCGAGAGACAGAGAGAGTCAATAGCACCATTAAAGAAAAAAAGAAATTGAGATCGTGAGTCAAAGCTCATATAGAAAAAGAATAACGGTTTCAAAAGTGTGAGATCATGGTGTAGTGTGAGAAATATTGGAGACTTGTTATTTTCGAAATTTTTGTTTTATATAAAATAAATAGAATTTTCTTTAATAAACGAATCATTTTTTTTGTTAAAAAAATATTTCTTTGCATTTTTTTTTTCTCAAATTGTAAAATCACATGACATTTGTTAGATTTTTTGTTAGCTAGATGACTTGTATTTTATTATATAAAAGATTAAGAAATTGTTAGTTTATATTTAGACTCCAGAAAATAAGAGACGCAAGAAAAAAGTCTCTTATATACTAAAGTGCAAATCGCCTCGTCAATCAGAGATTGAGACATGGAATTTTTTTTAAAAAATAGTTTTAAAAAATAAAGAAGTAAAACACGTGATTGTTCCACAAAAATAAAAATTTCAAAATTTTAAATAATCAACCTAATGTTGTCTGATCATTAATTACTTTTGAATTTTTAAAATCAGACAACATTAGGTTGATTATTTAAAATTTTGAAATTTTTATATTTGTTGAACAATTACGTGTTTTAATTTTCTATTTTTTTTTTAATTTCCATGTGTTAATCTTTGATTGGCGAGGCGACTTGCGTTTTAGTATATAAATAATTTTTTTTTATATGTCAATCGCTGATTGGCGAGGCGATTTGCGCTTTAGTATATAAAGGATGAATGTTAAGACCTACTTACAATTTATATAAATGTTGACAAGGAAATATATTGATACTTATATGAAAGATGGATATCATTTTTTCAATCTTAATTTGGTGTGGAAGATTTTCTACACTTGTGATTCTGTCATTTTATAACTTTATCAATGATGATATATGTGATTTAGTGAATTTTTGTGACCAAATATAGCTATTACACTGCTTCCATAATTTAATCAGAAAATCTAAATTTGGTATGATTGGATTTATACATGTGCTAATAAGTTTGTAATCATGTCATAATTTTCAACTATTAAAGTTATTTAAAAAAATTAATATGATGATGATACTATCAAACTTGAAAAAAAAAAACTTTTCATATAGTAGAATTTAAGGGATAATGGAGTGTGACTGATTTTACAATTAATTAATACCTATTAGACTGGACTTCTATAACCCCATATTAATGTTTATTATCTTGTTATTTATCCACCTTAATGACTCCTAGATATTTTCTTTCTGATTTTTTTCTCAGCAAGCAAAATTATCTTTTTAGCTTTCTTGTATTCTTTCTTTTGTTTCATAAACTCGTTCTGATAAATAATAAAATATATTTTTTGTTAATTTACAGTGTCAATATTCGTTTATTAGAAAGTAATAGTAAATTATAAACTTTAAAATTTGAATGCTTATTAAATTTCTATTGGCTAAAAATTGTAGAAAATAGTTAATCACTAAAAATTAAAATTAAAATTTAATATATTATATTAATATGTGTGAAAATTCTTAAACATTAATCATTTTAAACATAAGAAGCTGTAGATGTTATATTTTCCAAGCCAGTTAAATAAAACTCAACCAAACTTCACACCTGTGGGTGAAGAAACCAAAGTAAACATAATTATATTTAGACCCAACAAAATTGTTTCGAGTGGGACTACCTCATGAGGTCCTCAACAATTTGCATGGAAAATCTAGATACCAATGCAGTCACGAATTCTACCAACTTACAATTTGCGATTATTTTGTTCTAAGACATGATGATGAATACTTTTCTTTTTCCTTTTTTTTGTCGAACACGGTACTCAAGTCAACCAGAAAATTAATCTCTAACAGTCTTGGCTTCCTCAACTAACTTTCAAAGTCCAAACGTACGAGGACTGGTCTTATCCAGTGTACTAAATCCCGTGATATATAGTCACTAATATCAAATTACAATGTTAACCCTAGTTAAATTGTGTAATTAATGTAAGATAAAGCCTAACCTTACTTACACCCCGTGTTCTAAAACGCGTACGCCTAGCCACCTCGTCGCCCAGCTAATCGGTGTTCGGAGCTTATCCGCAGCGACTTTAACAAAATCGGTAAACAAAAACGGAAATAATTAATCGGCCCATGAAACCGATTAATCGGCCCATTTTCTAATTAATCGAAATTTTTACCGATTAATTGGACCATCTAAGAATCAAACATGCTTAAATTTAAAATTATAAAGGCTTGTTTAGGCTCTATTGGAAGCCCAACACCTTACTCTTCCTGCCGCATGTATAGTCTTATATATAGACTAAGAGATTGCCTCAACTCTCCAATCTTAACCGATGTGGGACTTTCACCCATCAAGACAAGAAATAAATATATTGCATATAAGGGGCGTCGAAGTCGGGTTGGACGGCATTATATCAGGTGTCTCGGCCAGTAGGAGACAACAAACTCTTTGTACTTTAACTCATACGTTAATATATATTCACATATATGTATAGTAAAGACTAAAAAACTAGGTCCCGATTAATCCCCGAATAATTTCCGATTTATTTTCTAGGCGCTAGGCCCAACCCGAACGCCCGACTAACTCCTAGCGACTTCTTAAACACTGTTTACACCTCGTTGCAAGTTTTTTTCTTTCTTCGTAGCAATGTTTATTTTAAAATTGTAAAAGGAAATAAATAATGTGGAAAAATGCAAGTGTAATGTAAATATCTGGATTCTTTTTATATGCCCTATTGGCTAATATTCTATCGGTCAAAAAAGGAACACAATTTGAAAACAGATCACAATATCTTATTCGAATTTGAAATATCTTCCGAATTATATAGAAGATGGACCGATCTTCTGTTCCATCATATTGACCATTTGAATCGAAACTCAAGTCTCAACTAACTAAATAGAGATAATTTAATTCCTAAATAGAATCAAACCAAAATATGATATGGGTACACACAAAAATACAAAAAAAATACCGCTAGATTACCTTGGTTAACAGTTATCTTAGTTGAGGGAGAGTAAAGGCCTCAAATATTAAATTTTATGACTTATGCAAGTAAACATTAAGGTATATATATTCTACTCTCTTCTTTTATAATTTTTGAGTTGGAGACACATTTTTTAGAGTTTTGAATATGTTTTCGTTATATGTATGCCCTTAGTAAATAAAATATGTTTTCGGTATAATAAGGTAATAGAAGTATCTGTTTTTCCATTATAAAACGTACCAGTGGCAGTGAGTTGGTCAAAAACAAACTTACCAGTGAATGTTTTCATAAAGATCCTATAAAATTGGAATTACATTGTGACAAGACCAAAAGTAGTATTATTTTATTTTGATTGAGGAAGATTTAGTATTCATAGCCGACAATATGCCACTAGTTATCACTTTCATTTTTCAAAAAGAAATTCTCATATGAAAGCTAGCACCTCCCCACAACATGGGGATACTAGAGGAATTCTCAATATTTAAAATAAATGCAAATTGACAAATTAAGACAAATAATAACACAAAAGTTTTCATTTAGGGTTTGAATGGAGAGTAGACCATACACACGGTTCAAACATAAAGTGGAGGATCCACTTTTGTATTGCTATTCATCAAAAAACTGATCTTAACAGTGAATTGTAACACTAGCAGTACTAATTTGTGATGAAAATGTATGAATCGTAAGTGGTTTTGAATCTTGTCATTTTTGTGGTGATTCAAGCGTTTCTTCCACAAAACAGTAAATATATCATTTTATTTATTTTTAGCTCAACTGTAAAATGATTTTTTATTCCTTTATATGCTGTGTTATTTTCCTAAATATATGTTAGCATGTTATTTTACTTTAGAAAAAAAAAGAAATAGTTTAAATTTGATATATTAGCTACTAATAAAACTCAAAACTACTAACATACCTATCAAAATATAATCATTTTAAAGCATCCAAAATTATATACATATATATATAATTTAAAAATACATATTAACTATATATGTGTACAAATTTATTATTGTAAATCATCCAAAGTTAGATATATTTGAAAAGTTAAAATAATTATATATACGTATATATGTCTAAATTAATTTTCTATTTATATTATGAATTAGTTTTAATTTTATTTATTAACTATTTTTTAAAATAACTACTTTTAATAATGACAAGTATATGGGAGTAATATAAATTTTATATAAATTCTTTTACATTTGTACAATACTTTGGTTCATTTTTGTCCACTTTCACCATTCAACTATATGTTTTAACCACTGAATCCGTTTGAACAACACTTATATCGTTAGATCTGTTTGAATCATTCCGAACCGCTAGATTTGTAGCGATTGAGCTGCATTCATTCAGAACCTTAATACCTTCTCAGGATCGGTTCACAACTTTAATAGACAATTATTCTTTACACAACGTTTTAACATGTTTCAAAAAAGCCAAGACATTTAAATACTAATTTGTTTTTCTTTACAAATTTCATTGGGCTTTTACCATTAATGCTGCTCTAATGTATGAAGTACTAGTTATGTAAAAATTTTATATATTGATATGGATATAATCTGGTTACCCTAGGGAAAATAACCAAACCACTTTTATAATTTTCTTATCATTTGATCATACATCCTTCTACTAAAGCAATAAACTATATAAAATAAATTGTATTCATATATAATCTTTTTTTAACTGGCTTTCATTCATTTATATTCTTATTCTTGTTCACTGAAATCTAATTTTCGATAATTATTTTATAGAAGCCAATTATAAATGATATTCATAGGCAATACCCATTTGCAAAATCCATCATAGTGAGTGAACTAAGCTCGAAGTTGTCTTCAAGGACCCAAAAAGTGTCGAACAGATTTGGAACCGTAGCTGCAACTTCAACATCCGGTTGCATTGAATAGACCGGTTTGGATTTTGTTTTGAGTTTGGAATCGTCATCAAATCTTAAAGTTGAAACTTTTTCGGCACCTATATCTTGATGAGAGGAAGAAGTTGTGGTTGTTGTGACCACCAAAGACGGTGGTGAAGGTGTAGTTGTTGTGATGACCAGAGACGGTGGAGTTTCTAGGTCGCAAGCCGGTTTGGCCGCAGCTGAATGATCTCCAAGGCCGAGTTTCTTGCTAAGATGAGTGTTCCAATAATTCTTCACTTGGTTGTCTGTTCTTCCTGGTACTCTTTTCGCTATCAACGACCATCTGAATCATACAAACATTTAGGATAGGAAAAATATAGAATGTTAAAATATCACGCAATTGTTTCTTTTTTAAAAAAATTGAAACTATTATAATTAAGTTGACTTATATATTTATATAAAATTTAGTTTCTTGTTTCTCTTAAATATTTTTTAGCTTAGTCAGGATTGTAGCTAAAAAAAATTTAGTCAAAAGAAAATAAATTAACTATTTATTAAAAAGTAGTATTAAAATGATAAATTGAGATTTACTTTTCTAAGAAGATCGTTTATAAAACGAACGAATCACACATTTTTTTCCAATGTAAAGAAATATTGTTTAGGTTTATATTTTTCACATAGATGAATTAACATATTGACTGATATATCTCTGCATGCATAGCTATTTAAATTTTCTTATACCGAATTAGGAGTTAATACTTATGGACGACGGACCTATCCAGCATGCGTATGTGCAACTAACGTAACCGGATTATATATGGTGCTTGTAGATGATATAGTAGTGTATATATTGAAGATGTGTATATATATATGCAGATGATCCATAAATGAGTATAAATAGTTATTTAGTAATTTCAAAGTTCGAAGAAACATACCTTTGATTATAAAATCTAGGTATATAAATTATATATAGGCCTAAGTAAAAACAAAAGAAAGTTCTAAGATTAAAATGTAACCTAATCGATTTATATTAATGACAATGTTCTGAAGATAAATGTTATACACAGCTGGCACGATACAGATCTAAAGAATTCTTTAACAAAGAAACAAACTAAACACTTCAGAGATTCGCGTAATTTAAGGATCGAACAGCAAACACATACATAAATAATTGACAGAATTGTATACCTCCACTCGAGGGTTAGGTATGTGTCTTTAATAGAGCCGAGTTTAATTCTTTTACGAAAATGTTCAAAAAAAATAATTGATAGAATTGTATAACAAACCGTTTTTCCTTTTTGTAAATGTAAAAATATATTTATATATATTATATATATATAAACTTTGTTGTTATAAAATTATTAAAAAAATGTAAAATCCAAAAGAACCTGTTGCCGAGGAGCTTGTGGAGTCTGATGATGAGATCCTCTTCTTGATCAGTGAAATTGCCTCTATTTACACTAGGGCTTAAGTAGTTCATCCATCTTAATCGACAGCTTTTCCCACATCTCTTGAGCCCTAAATAATCATCCAGAGTCTCAATCTTTAGAACTCCTTTTTTATTCTTACCAAGAAAAAAACATGAGAAAGGAATTAAGTGGGATGAGTAAAAGAACCCGTCTTCTTGGCGATGCGGTTCCAGTGGCCTTGGCCGTGAGTTCGGACATAGTCCATGAGGATCTTGTCTTCTTCCACTGTCCATAAACCCTTTTTGTATTCCTGGTCTTTCCCATCTCTTATCATTCTCATCCTTTTCACTTTTTTTTATTCTGAGGAAGAGGGAGAAGGGAGAAGGGAGAAGGGAGAAGGGAGAAAGAGAGACACTTGGTGGGATTGAAGGTGAATGAATCAGTTAGTCAAGCCTTACTATATATATATATATATTTTATGTGACTTATGTATGTATATGTGTGTATAGATAAATAGTCATGCATACATAAGGACAAGTTTGTATGCTGTTTCCGTTACAAAAAGGTCAGTATATGGTAAAGTCAATCTATTGTCAATCTCCGTTTAGACGGGTGTAAATTTTTATTTACAAGCGTTTTATTTTCGTTGCTCTTTTAAAATAAACTTTATATGTGTTAATTCTTAATTATATATATGTGCGCTTTGATTATCATATAGTAGTTAGATACAAAATATTTTATAGTGATCAGTAGCTACGGAAATTATGTTGTCAGCTAGGTCGCGGCAAGACGCATATAAATTGTTTAATGATGAGCACACAAATAGTTTGACGAAGAGTTTATCTCAGATTAATTCAATAATTTATGTAGCAGACAAAAAAATATAGACTAAAGAGTTTGTTGAAATAAGAAATTTTCTATCTCGTTTTCCGCTCTTAACTAACAATTATATACGCATATATAATATATATATACCTATATATATTTTCTAAGAAACAATTACAAGAAATTCTCCAATAATCTTGCCCTAAGTGATCCTAATTTTCAAAAAGGTCTAAGTAAGCCATTAAAACCGCGTCTTGGCTAGCGTTGTTCTAACTAGATTTCTTGCTAGGACGAACATATTTATCCATCAAAACTTTAAGAGTTACTTAAAATAAAATAAGAATCTTTTAGTTAACCAATAGTTAACATATAGATATTAGGAGTATCTAAGGAATATGTAAAAGTATATCTAATAAAAAAATTAAGAACATTTCATCATTCTCTCTTGTCATTATTTTTATTCAAATTTACTTGTAAAATTAGGTGTTTTCCAACATAATCATATTGCAAATATTTTTTTGGTAACTAAATATTCTAACCTCGCTTAGATGGTCTAATTTAGAGACTGAAGCGAACAAAAATATTGTCATGACGTTATAATATGGTTCACTTATTACAATTCTCGATTTCGGACGCTGAAGAATCCGCAGATAAAATCTTCTATAGCCGAGTTTCGAATCCTGATAGCAGAATTCACAGCCGTAAACCCTTAATCATATGAGCTAGAAGTACCATTTAAAAAAGTAATTTCACATTTTTACTAGAAATCCAAACATTATAAATAACTCTTTTCACCGCCAATAAAACCTAAGTGAAGGAAATTACAGCCGCAATTCTTTTATCACTAGGCCAATTTGACGTTGGTTGCAAATATTTATTTACAACTGAACTAAATCCAATTCTATTCAAAAAGTAGTATCCAATCCACACTGGTTAGTATATTATGTTTCGTACACATGTGCCTATAACTATATACATATATATACATATATTTTACGTTAATATGTTACGTTTTTCAATTCATTGCTTGTTATATTTTATATGTATAGTTATATATATATATATATATAGATTCAAATACACATCTATATATATATAACTTTGGAAATAAGGATAATATGATTAATGAGAATTGTTTGGAAACAATGATAACAAATTAAATAATTTTTTATTTACATATTTAATCATTGTATTTATTAAAAAAAATAAATATTTTCTTTTTCTTATTTCTTTTTATTTACAGATTCTGCTATTATATTTAAAATCAATTTAAATTAATTAATAATTAATTACAATGATTTTTTATTTGTGGTGAAAATAAAAACACAAATTAAAATATATAGTATATATTATATAAAATAATTTTAAATATAGTTTTATCTTATTTAATTTAGTCAAATATAAATTTGGAGAGTTTAATTTTCAAGAAAAAAATATCATAAAATTAATGATAATTCATAGAAAACTAATGAAAAATTAACTTTTAGTATGTTGTTTCATTTTAAAATAAATTAACAAAAAATAACATGAAACTATATGAATAGTACAATTACATCAAATTATATCAAATTATAAATTTTTTAATATAATATTATGTACCAATAAAAAATTATTATTAAACATTTTCTATTATAAAATAATATATTATATTCTATATGTAAATTACAAAACATAGAAATATATATAGAATTTTTTATAAAACCAGCGATTTATGAATTTACGTTGAACACAAGTTAAATCAAACACCCACACCGGGGATGCGGATCAGGTTCTAGTTAATAGTTAAGGTTCATTACACATAAAAAAAATTAATATGTTACATTTTTCATTCTTTTGTAAAGGTTTTATAACACATAGATCAATAAAATTTGAAAATTGCATAAGAATAGTAAAAAAAGGTTTTGAAATGTAGGTATATCTCAAAAGTATAGGTACATATATAATATATGTATATCCCAACTAACAAGTTAAGTAGAATTGAAAATTGTAAAAACAAGTAAAGGATTATGTCATAGCAAAATAAAAAAAAAGTTAAGTATTGGACATGAATCTCCCTTGGGATAGACAAATATCATTTTAACGTTATATTGATAACTACCAAACTTAGAGGCTCATCTGCTAACATAGATAGATGCTCATCTGCTCGTCCAGCTAGCTTTATATTCTAACATAGATAGATGCTCATCTGCTCGTCCAGCTAGCTTTATATACTGTATGTGGCTATGTATACTGTGTGTATGATCTACTATCTAGGGTGTCCATCCCACCCCTTTTTAACCCAATGTACAGAGAAATAATTTAATGTCAGTATGTGTATGATTTAATTCTATTAATTGGTTGAACTTAATTACAATTAACATCTCTAATACAAGAAAATTAAACATTTGTGGTTCCAAATCCTGAATAGTCTAATATCGATTCTCATTACTCTAAATATATCATGTCGTGGATGTGTATTATATCTATGACTGTTGTTATAGCTTACTTTAGCCTACTATTATTAGTTTTTATGGATAATTAATGATATAGGACCCTGTATACGGACCTCTTAATTTCAAACATTACTTTTCCAATCAACCCAACTAATTGAAGACCGTGTTGATCTCATCTAATCTAGAAAAATTGGGTGAGATAACATTAAAAGAAAAAACTAAATTCACTAACTAGCTAAAATTTCTCATTCCCTCTTCATTTCTCTTTTTATCTCTCTCTATTTTCTCACTAAAAAGCTAATTTGCTTCTTTTTTTTGGCTATTTGGCAAATAAACTCTATTAACTACATTAACATGCTTAGTAAAAAAACTACATTAACATGCATACACTGCACCTGTAAAGTCTCGAAGACTAAGAAAATATGTATAGTGACTTACAATAATCAAGTTATTTATATATAATTCATGTCATATTTATATTTCCATTTTCTCTCGAGATAATAATGCGTATAATCATTAATTTTGTAGAAACCATCATACCCCTCTGAAATAATTTATTTTCAAGTTATCTCGAAGAAATTGAGCCTTCCTTGGGTTATCAATTCGTGGGATAATCAGATCACAGTCCATATCAGATTAATGAGTCAGAGTATAAGTCTGCTCTGATACCATATTAAGTTTTCTGGACTCCAACCTAAAACTAATTATTAATTAGTGAATTGACCCAAAACTATTATATATTACTCATGTCTCATTTATATTTTTAGTGTAGAATCTTTTCTCCAATAATAAATTAACTTAAAATGCTTATTGAAATTGAATATTAAAAATTTGCCCTACACAATAAAACTTTAGAGCAAATAGTGACAGATGGGGTGAGCAAAATAACGACCTTATCCCCTCTCGCGGAGATCTCTCTTACACACTTGATCATAGCTTCCACGTTTGGTAGTGGTAACAGGGTCATAAATAAATAAATAAAGACAATACCCAAAAGTGTGTTTAGATAGATCATTAAATATTGTGTAGAGTGTAAATACTCCACAAAAATGAAATAAACCACTAATACTAATATTTTTAGAAACATATATCCGATCCGATTCGTTATATTCACATATATATATATATATATGTATATACATATTCCTAAACCTTAAACCCTATTTAATAATATATATAACTTATATAAATATTCTGTTTTATATAAGTTTTACAATATTTTTTATTAAAGTTAATTTTATTAACTGTTAGAATTTGAAAAAATAAATAATTTTTAGGTTTGTAATAAAATACTATTCTTTTCATTTTATTTTAGTTGTCGTTTTAGATTTTGACACATATATTAAAAAAAATTTTAATTTTACATATTTTCAAGCTAAAAACACAACTACCTATATACCTAACTACTTTTCAACCAATAGAAAAATAAAATAACATATAAAATTAATAAATTTTATATTAAAATTATAAAGCGATACTTATTTTACAAGGAAAATTCTACTCTACAAGAGTATTTTTTAATATTAATTTCAGATTTTTATTTATTTAACTTTATTTTATTTTAATAGATCGAATCAGACATCCATTTAAAAATCTTGAAATTTATAAATATCTGAAACACCAGGTATCTGAATAAATACATATCAAATCAAATCAAACAATTGATTATTCGAACAAATCATATCAGATATACTACATAGTACTAAAATTATCAATACATATTTTCACTTACATTATAACCAAGGGCGAAGCACTAGTTGTGGGTGCATGTACACCCATAAATGTATGAAGATTAACAAGTTTTGTATGTAAAAGTTGTAATTCTAGCTAACTAAAATGGTTAAAGTTTTCGTGTGCACCCCTAAACATCCAAGATTCAACATCTTTTTTTTTGGCACAAATGTCTCTTTTAAGGGCATGATTGGTCTTTCCGCTATCATCTATTAACACAGCCTTTGCAGCTGATATTGATTGTTGGCGTTTTGTAACAATCACACAAACTGTCTTGAACCGCTTCAAATCGTTTTAAACCTCTTAAATTTAAAAGCTTGTTTCAACTAGTGTTTGCGATTACAATCGATTG